ATATATATATATAAGAATTTAAAAATCTACACAAATTAAATATTAAAAATATTTGATGAATATGTGCAAAGGAATATAAAAATTTTTAAAGTCTTCTTTATAAGAGTAAGACTTTGAAAACTTAGTCTTTCCTTGAAAATCGGTGAACTCCTTTTCTTTTTCTAGAATTCCTTGAATGTGTACTATTTTACCACAGAATGATCGCCATTGTTCTGAACGGACTTCAGGGAGTTTTAATTTTAGTCTCTTATGTCTGCAACAAGCGAGTCCTACAATTATTAACAGAAGGGTGATGTAGCAGCACTTCCAAACAACACAAATAACCCCGTCTGTACAGACTTCCTGTGAGCAGATTTCCTGTGAGCAGACTTCCTGTGAGCAGACTTCCTGTGAGCAGACTTCCTGTGAGCAGACTTCATGTGAGCAGACTTCCTGTATGCAGACTCCCTGTGAGCAGACTCAACGTTAAATGGTAGCTTATTTTATACGATGAACAGCAGTGTGTAAGATGATGTGTACTCTTGGATTTTTTTCTAGACATGTCATCTGTCTTATAAATAAACGATTTACAAGTTTTAAAACAGAAGCATTCATAATCCATTGTCCTGTGGTGAAAATGTGGGTTAACTTCAGCTGAAGGAATGACTTCTTACAAGCTTAATTTAACCAAAAATGTTTAACTTAAATTTTAGCTTGTTTTTTTTTTTAAAAATCACTTCTATATCTTAAGGGCCCACGATCAATTTATTGATCATTTAAAGAGTGATTCCATTTTATATCATTCAACAATCGAGGGTGGGCGCCATGTTCAGGTTTGTCTTTTCAACCTCCGGTTTTCTTATGAAAGTCATGTATGGGGTCTTGACCAATGGCATGGAATGTTTGTTTTTTAAAGAGTTTACAAACTTGATTCCTGATCAATAAACCCAAATAAATACAAACAAGAAATAAATAGTTTGTTTATTCATTATGCTGATGACGTAATTAAAGGTTGACGTGTAAGTGTTGCGTCTCTTTTTCCTGTCTCATTAAAACTGTTCAAATATGAGTCCAAGACATTTGTTTGATGGATAATGAAGTGTCGTGTGAAAATAGTTTGATGGCATCGGGTTTTAAAATTGCATTAAAACATCAAGTTCAACTCATTATTTGGGACTGATGCATTGGAGATTTTCTTTTTGAAAATCGGGTTTGTTCTACGCCTCTGCGTACTCTTCTGTCTTGTTCCATATTTCGTTACAGTTATAAAGCAGTACTAATCAGATTATACATTGCACGTCTTCGGTTATTACATTTGGCTTAGATTTTCCCCAAAAGTAATTCAAAGTTTGTCGACTTTTTGTAGCCATCCAAACGTTTGGTCGAAACTATATTTGGTTTTTCTGTATTAAATTACACCGGGCTACAATTTTTTTTTTTTTTTTTTTTTAATATAAACTAAGACTTTGTATCAAAATAGGAACATATTACCTCCCATAGCACCTGAAGTTTAGCTCGAAAAGTGAAGTTTCTATGCCTCAAGCTTTCTTAAACTTACCTTTTAACAAAGTACATAACACCCAATACAAAAAAGGTAACCTTTTATATATATATATATATATATATATATATATATACATATACATATATATATATATATATATAAAAGAACGTAAATATCGTATGTAATACTTTGACAACATGGAAGTAAAATTAACGATTTAAAAAAACAAAACATTTAGTTTCAAGTAACTCTTCCTTAATTTAAAGTTTAATTAATAAAGTACATGAGTTGAAAATTTGGCTACATATAAGTTCAATAATGCTACAAAACATACAAACTTTTTTTTTTTGGGGGGGGGGGGGTTTTTCCACGCGGTCTCAACTTTTCTGTCTATTGCCCGCTGGGGACATTCTACATGGCGATAAGGAGGACATCGTCGGCGTTGTCGTTGAAGACCCTGGACTTTTAGATCTTAAGAGAAACAGTTTCTTGTACGCCCTCTTAAAGTTTCTGTTCATCAGGCCATAGATGATCCAGTTGATGCACGAGTTTGTGTAGTACATGTGGATACTGATCAGATAGACCACGGTGGACCACTGGTCCTTCGTGTCGAATAAGATGACGACCATGTAGGGCATGGTCAGTACGGCGAAGAAGACGAAGACGACGAAGAGAGATTTGATCAACGTCAGCTCGTCTTGGGTGATGTGTCTCGTCTGGAAAGATTTTTTTCCATGTTCTCTTAATTCAAAGACGTGACACTGATATTTATGCTCATTTCACTCGATCAAATTTTCGTTAAATTTCTTTTGAACGCACTATGTTTTAAAACAAAATTGTGCGTTCAAAAAAGAACTTTGGTGAAAATTTGACGCAAATTTGATCGTGTGAACTGAGCATTACTTGACATACAGATATATTTGATTTTATTACCTTTTTTTTTTTTATTTCTTGTTAAAAGATTTTTTAAAAATTTATTACAGAACACTGAAATGAAACACTAAAATTTGAAGACAGTCTGTGTATACACCAGCTGTACGATATTAGGCCACCTCATATTCACATAAGTCAGGCCACTTTATACCCATATAGATCAGACCGCCTCATATCCACATAAGTCAGGCCACTTTATACCCATATAAATCAGACCACCTCATAACCACATAAGTCAGGCCACTTTTTACCCATATAAATCAGGCCTTTTATACCCAAATAAATCTTTACTACGTTAAATGAAATTTTACACAACCATGTACCCACTAAAACCTCCTTATCGCTTGCTATGGCAATCTCCATTAACAACGCGTGCAATGTATCTACTTACAAATGATCTTCCGGGAAGCTTCACGCCTTCACTCACAGTTACAGTCTTCGTGGTTTCTTTCACTGTCAGCGGCGCCTCAGTGGCGAGTTTAACCCTCTCAACGGGTGATCCTCTTTGAACCCTGACCTCTGGTGAAGGAGGATCAAGGGATTCGTCCGGCGGTTCAAAAATCTTCCTGTTCAGCTCAAACTTCAACAACTTCATGAGCGCCTCATTGGTGTTGGTGTACAGGTAAGACAACATCGACGTTCTCGAAGCTATCTCCTCTCGCGGTGTTCCAACTGCTGGTGTGTACGTTTGGGATCTCGTGGGATGACGTGATGAGTTCGTCTGGGGGCTCGTAACATGACGCGACGAGTTCGACTGGGGGCTTGTAAGATGACGAAACATCGGGAACATTCGGTTTTTCAGTACTCCATTACTGACGGTCACTTTCGGACTCTTGGCCTCCTCTTGGCTAGGCTCAGACTTGAAGGTCAGCTTCTCGTCCAGACCCGACGAACTGGTTACTTCCTCGGACGACAGCGACCCCCTTGACCATGACGA